ATTTGAGTATACGAGCCTCTATTTGGAGCACGGCCATCTGCTCGCGGAACGCCACAGGCTCAGCATGGAGGGGCAGGATGACCCACCGGGGAGAAGTGACTGGACGATGCATCCTGTAGGAAATCACGCAGAACGAGAAACAACAGTGGTGATTGATCTCACAGGACAGGAGGAAGAGAAGGAGGAGCCATTGAAACCGGCTGACCCCGGGAACTCGGAAAAGGAACTCAAGAATCAAGGAAAATGGAACCAGCAACAGCAGTATGAGGGAGAGGAAAAACTACAAAAAATGAGGCGCAGTTAAAAGGAGGGGAACGTGAGGAGAAAGAGGAAGGACGAGAACCACCGCGATGTGATGATGAGAAAATGGAAGACCTCAGCTTTAAAGAAATGCATGCGTATCTGGTGGATCAATTTCAGAACTTACCACCGAAACAGGCCATGGAAGTTGACAGTGGAGTAGACTTCGTACAGCAAATGTTTGAGGAGATCTTTTACACACACCCGGAAGAATTCCTGTTGCCAGCAAGACGCAAGTACAGATTTCTCTCTCCAATCCGGTAGAGTGGTCCGACACTATCTTAGGATTTGATATGTTATTTAGAAAGGATCGATATGTAATGCATCCACAAGGTCAACTGTGAAGCGCGGACTATGATGTCCTCTACTGCGACGTCGGCTTCGTAGCTAGTCGACTCAGTCTCACTATTACCCTCCTTCACACCATTAAATACTATACCTGTGTGGCGAAAGCAGTTGGCGACCGTCACCTTTCCTTGAATATCAGTCCATATTTCCTTGCTCTATTCCATAGTCTGTAGCTGATCGACTACGTACGCCTTTTTATCAATAACTTCTCCCTGTTTGATCTTGTCAAACACCCATAGGAACTGCTTCCTCCTGTACGCTTGCTTGAACGCAGCGATGATTCCAGCGTCTATCGGTTGCAGGAACGCGGTAGTGTTCGGCGGCAAAAACTCTACACGGACATTAGTGCAAACTAGATCCCCTGAGTTGTGGGAAGACGCATTATCAACGAGCAATAGAATGTGCCGTCCGCGTGCACGCATGTCTCGATCTAAATCGAGCAGCCATTGTCGGAATACTTGACCTGTCATCCAGGCCTTTGCGTTGCTGGAATAGTTGAAACCTAACTCCTTTGCAGTGCGTTTCTTGAAGCAGTAGGGCTGCTTCGCTCGGCCTAAAAACAGCGCGGGAAGGGCGTCCGTGCCATCCGCGTTCGCCGTGAGAGCGATAGTAATTCTTGTTTTGTTCTTCTTTACGCCACGTGCTCATTTGGTGCAAATGGAGCGAGCGGGAGCCAAAGCGTAGCAGAGCCCCGTTTCGTCCATGTTATAAATATTTCCAGGGTCGTACAGCTCGGTTAACTCCTATAGTTTTTGACGACCAACAGCAACAGTGTCAGGGTCGGTGGATCCTGCTTCACCAGGGGGAATCCGGGAGCGTAAACGATGTCTACGCTCAAAAGCACTCAGCCAGCCTTCCGAAAAGGTAAGCTCACACGCGTCACAGAGTGTCTGTTGAATATCCCGAGCGTTCATTTTGATGAGCTCACGTGAGAGGCATACGCCTTGCGCCTCTACCTTCTGAATCCACTCCCACAGCTCCTTCTCCAGCTGGGGCGACGTCACTCGGAGGGGCTTACACCACTTGCCGTCGCCGTAGTCGTCGCTCATGATCTGGGGGGCCATATTGAGAATATCAGAAATAGTTGTTTGCGCAGGCGGCCGTTTTAATCGGTAGGTGATCTTTGCCCATG